TATCCTCAAGTCTTGAAAGAATCAGGATATTCAAAAAAAAATTTCAAGGCCACTATTGATTTTTTTGGGCAAAGAAAGAGAAGCACGAAAAACCGTTTCGGCGAACACTTTTGACCGCTACTGTATATCCCGCACGGTCCGTCATGGCCTGCGAATGCGCGAGATATGATTCCCGCGCAGTCGTCAATGTGTTAATGAGCCACCTCCTCCCTGGCTCACGAATTGTTTTTACTTGACTTTGAACGTCACTACTATCTAGGTGAAAGGACGCAGGCGATTTGGCCGACAACATCAGTGCTCGAAGGGATAGAGGGCTAGCTTTTGACAATGCTTGACCCAGCTTTCTGCGAAAATTTCATGAACCAGGGAGATTAGCACGTGCACAATGGATGAGAAACTGCAGTGTGTGAATTCATGAAGTATCGAATCGTAAAAATACGTGGCTACCAATAAGATATGGGCTATTTTAGTGACTCGTTTAGGCGATGACCAGCGCCTTTGGCACATAAAAAAACGTAAAGCGAACGTAAACTACGCATACACACACACTTAAATACAAAGCCACCGTAACCCGCAGGCTGTGAGAACGCGTAACAAACAGGAAACAACGCAGCGATCCTGATAGCCGTGAGGTTTGGGGTGAGGTCGTGGGCGTGAGGGAGGTTTTATGATCACATGTTGACAAGGAATAATTACCCGAATATTTTGCAAATGAAATGTAAAACGACAAAAAATGAAAACCAGACAAATAGAAGACATGGAAGAAAAAGGCGATTATGGCGGACGCGGATCCACACGATGCAGATCGCAAACGAACGATCGATGACGCCATCGATAACGAACAACGTATTTGTAGTGAACTAAGCGAATCGGTGGGTAGACAAGAAAGGAGTAGAAGACAATGCAGCACCTATAGCTCGTACTTTGCATTTGCTGAAAATGGGCGTGGCAATCCGCATTGGGGCGGTCCTGACCACTGCAAGAGAACAAAGCAGCAGGTACCGCAACATCAGGAAATAAGCTATGCGTTGTTGAAGAAAACATCCGAGGGATTATCCCAGTTCATTGATCATCTCCGAATGCTTCCGGTAGTGGATCCGGAATCGATAAATCTGCTAAGTCTTGTAAAATCGAATCGTTTCGACTTTCCTAAACAGAATTGAAGTCAGACACGCACGTAACACCGTGTCCTCATATTTCCGAAAAAATCAATAATTTCTAAAATCCCATTTCAAACTCACATTTCGCGGTATACTGATCTGAGGACATGGTGAAACCATTCGACGTTGACTTCCAGCCGGATAACGTCGTCGACTATAAACACAATCAACATAAACAAAGGTTCCTGATTTCGTGATCCACTCTAACTAATCGATATATCGATTTAAAACCAACCTGTTACTGCCTTCCACAGGGTTTCATCCTTTTCTGGAGCAGCTATGGCATTCTCGTCCACAATCGCTACAGGCTGCTCGTGCAAAGAAATGCTGCGAGTGTGCGGTCCAGACAATCCCCAACCATAGCAGGCTTTTTGCTCCGTTCGAAGGAACGTTACGGCATCCTGGAATGTGCAGCAGACATTTGAAGATAACGAAATATTTTTATCTAAGAGATCTTTAGAAAAAATTCATCCGAGATAGAAGTCGATAATACGATACCGCCAACATCTTGTGGATTGAGGGGGACACTTAAAACTGGGCCGGTCATAGATGACACTACGGCTAAGCCCAGAAGAGGAGAGAAACACCAGGGAGAACACTAATTGCTCACATCCTTTTCAGAATTCCTTCCCTCCGTAGGGCTTAGACCCAAGTGCTGTAATGGAGCGCTCATAGTTGGCGATCGTACGTGCGATTAGGCGATTAGGTGATGATTCAAAATGAAAAGTAGGAATCGATTAGGCGATTAGGCGAGTAGGCGATAGGAAAAGCATACGTATTGATTAGGCGAGTAGGCGAATTTGAATGTGGAGGAAAGTGACT